TGTTCGGATCAGGGCTGTGGCCAAGGCCTCTGCCAGGAGACCTGCTGCCAACCCAGCTGCTGCCAGACCACCTGCTGCAGGACCACCTGCTGCCGCCCCAGCTGCTCTGTGTCCAGCTGCTGCAGGCCCAGCTGCTGCCAGTCTGTGTGCTGCCAGCCCACCTGCTGCCGCCCCACCTGCTGCCAGACCACCTGCTGCAGAACCACCTGCTGCCGCCCTAGCTGTTGTGTGTCCAGCTGCTGCAGGCCCCAGTGTTGCCAGTCTGTGTGCTGCCAGCCCACCTGCTGCCGCCCCTGCTGCTGCCTGCGTCCAGTCTGTGGCCGGGTCTCCTGCCACACCACTTGCTATCGCCCAACCTGCGTCATCTCCACCTGCCCCCGCCCCCTGTGCTGCGCCTCCTCTTGCTGCTGAATCTCTGCTTTGAACACACCTCTTTGTTATTGCCTCCTTCCCCACAGATGAAGACTTTCTTTTTAAAACTGGCCAGCACTGAAGAGAATTGATCTGAGTCCCATAAGCAAATCTTATTCCTACTAATTCAGTGTCCACATTCTAACTTCTGTCCAAACTCCTTCCAAATGAATTCATTGAGAATCTTCTAATAAACTAACAAATTTTCCCCAAACATTTCTCCCTTTATCTTCAGGACATCCATTCATCATGCTTAAGGAATTTGAAGATTGCCTCCATCACTTGTAGGACCACAGATTTTAACCCCTCTGGCACTGAAGTCCAATGAAATCTCTCCCTTATAGTCCTTTGTAAAGATTTTTTTGTACCTTGTTATTTCCATGTACCAAAATAAACCTCTATTCTATTGGCACTGCAAACTGAATGTGACTTTTGCTCTCTTTTTAAAAAGGTTTTGTATTTGGGTCCTGGGTAATTGTATTTTGCCTACACCTGTAGGGCAGACAGCACACATTAGTCAACCTTCCAACAGAAGTCAACTGAGATTGATCACTGCCAAGTTTTCTCTAGAAAAGTCTTTTTAGTCTTAGGCAAATTAACTCATCATTTTGTAGTTTTTAGGAAAAAAAAGAGTGAAACCAAAGTGATGAAATTTCCATGAATACAATTACAAGAAAATTTTGGAGAGATTGAACACAACTGATCATCTTTTAAAATACTCAAGTGCCCATCAATACATGAGTGGATTAATAAAATGTGGTGTATGTATAGTATAGCATGGAGCACTACTCAGCCATAAAAAAAATGGTGAACTAATACCTCTTGTATTAACCTGGATGGAACTGGAGACCATTCTTCTAAGTGAAGTTTCACAAGTATGGAAAAACAAACACCACATGTACTCACCATTAAATTGGAACTAATCGATCAACACTTATGTGCACATATGGAAATAACATTCATTGGAAATCAAACAGGTGGAAGGGGGAAGAAGGGGATGGGTAAATTTATACCTAACAGGTACAATGCACACTATCTAGGTGATGGGCACTCTTATAACTTTGACTCAAATGGTACAAAAGCAATTTATGTAACCAAAACATTTGTACCCCCATTATATTCTGAAATAAAAATAAAATAAAATACCATATGTCATATTTTTCGCCAATAAAAGCAGCTAATAGATGTTTTAGCAAAATCTATGTATTTTCTACTCTGTTGTGTGCAAGGCATCTTCTCCACACATGCAGTGGATCTCCCTTTATCCTGACTGGTAGAGCTGCAGTAGGGAGCTCATCCTGCCATGCAGAGGGGCCACCTTCAGGCCAGGCAGGTGACGTAAATGAAGGAAGGAGAACTGGTGAAATGCAGAGAGACGTATTGCTCAAGGCTGGCTTTTTTTTTTTGGCCCAGGGTAATGCCCTCTTTTCAGGATAGAATTACAAAGACCCACATTTCTTTCTCCAGCAAGGGATGCCCTTAATGAATCATCCCATCTTCAGAACTCCCTGTAGGTTCAGCTGAGACCTCCACTGAGACCGCCTCCCAGTTTCATTTCTCCCAGAGTCCAATCCTGCTTACTTCTCGTCCTTTCCACAAGTGTTAAACCCTAGAGCATGCCTTGAGAAACCTCCTGCACACTGATCTCCATCTCAGTGTCTGCTTCCTGGGGATTCCAACTTGTCCCAAAAACCAATTTGAAATTCATGATAGCTAATTTTAAAGCCAAAACGATTGACTAAAATGTACTTTTAATCTTATAGTGCATGACAGAAATTGGAGTAGTAACAGAATAGCAGAAAACATATTTAACATAATCTACAGAGAAAATTGTGAATTTTACATAAATCACATTTATTCTTTTTTTAAGGATTTTTATATCATTCATATACAAATCCATGCTCTTTAAAAATTTAAACAGTACAAAAGAATATGTGACCAACGGCAAGTTTCCCATTATTACTCTTTATCAATCTCATTCGAGACTGATTGTTACAAATTGGGATACATCCTTATTAAATGCATAAGTAACACATGTATGTATTTTTTCACAAACCTGGAATTAGTTGTACATTTCTTGTTCTAATATGTATTCAAATATCATTTTATGTCCTTAATACTTTCCTCCATACAGGCCAAGTGTATTGCTTGGCAGATTTATTTACATTAATTTTATATTTATTGTTGAGAATCGTGAGCACATTTTTCCCAGTACATTTATAGAGGATTACTGCTAATGATAAGAAATCTATTGATTTCCATAAATTCATCTTTTATCTGACCTCACAGTTAATACTAATATTCAGTTGATTCTCTAGGGTTTTCTAAGCATACAAGCCAAATGCCTCCAGCCTGAGGCATGTCCTCAGGGTTGTTCCTCAGTTGCCCACAGTGCTAATCCCATCATTAATACAAAATTGTTTAGGTTTTCTTCCTTTCCTGTGCTTTCTGGAATCACTCCAACCCACCCAAGTAAACTATTTGCACTCTATCTGGTCCTTGTCTCAGGGCCCGCACTGGGGAGAATTCAAGCTAAGACAATGGATGTTCGGCAAATATTTTTGGCTTATTGATATCAAACTGGTAACAGAAATTATTTCTAGCAATAAGAATAAAACTTAGAAGTCAGAAGATAAAGAAGAACCAGGGTTACCATTTGGTGTTCATCTTCTTCCTCTCTTTTTCCTACGTGAATATAGGCATGTGTGTTAAGCGCAGTATCCATGGTTATTTGTAAACAAGTCTAATTCTATACATTGAATCTTAATTTCCACAAGTTTCCACATATGTTATTTATCAGGTGACATGTTACATAAATAAAGGTAGTTTTCTTCAAATGTAACTATGATCCCTTTCTTTGGAATGTTTTCCCCTCTTTTCTCCAGAAGTCAAAAGACATATATTTTTATAGAACGATTACATGCCCCATGTCATCAAAAAGCCTTCATTCACTCCACAAACATTTATCACCAGTGTCTTCTGTCCTCTTCTCTGTACTGAGCGCCGTGGCAACAAAAATAAATGTCATAGCCTGGCAGTGATGGGATATTTACATTGCACAGGGGGGAATGACAGAAGTAAATAACTATGACACAGTAGAATGTGACGAATTAGGAGCACAATGCAAGGAATAATTATACATAAATGGGGTCGTTTATCTGGAAAGATTATCATTGAGGAGGAAGCATTTTAACTGGGTTTTGACAGATGAGTAGGAGTTTGCAGAACTGCCAAGAAAAAAGAAACATTCCAAGAAGATAAAACAGCTTTAGCAAGGCCTGAAAGTTATATTTTCCACCTGTTTTTTGGCTACATTAAGACATATTAAGCTTACTTTCTCTTTAGTCTTAGACAAGTTGTTTGTTTGTTTGTTTGTTTTAAGATCGTCATGCTTTCTTTGAGTCTTCCACTAAAAGAATAGTAAGACTATGCACTACTTCATAGGGTTACATTAAAGATAAAAAAACAAAATAAATATAAGATATTTAGCACAATGCCTAACACTATGGTACCAAACACTATGGTTTGGTTCACATAGTGAACACTATGGTTACCATTTGGTAACAAATGATACCATATACACTGAGGGTGTATGGAATTTATCTGCATAGTATATATTTTTATTTTGGTTGTTTAATGAAAATAATTGTAATTTCTTTAATTTTTGCCAAACTCTGTTTCCTATACATTTGTCTTGTTCAAGTGCCTGTAGGAAAGAGAAGAGGGTTTATTTGTTCTACACCCAGAGTAGCCAACAGAATATCTTGGATACACATTATCGAAGGCTTAGTAATTCTAAATCTCGTTTATATACAACGAATGCTTCTCTAAGCGAAATATCCATTGTGCAATTTTGGTGATTAAAAGATACAGCAAAACTTCCTACTCTTAATGCCTATCCTGGAAGACATACAGAGAAATGTGTTTTTACTATTTACAAGCAATTAGTCATTGCTAAGTGCTTCAGACCATGGAATGAGATCTGACACAGAGTGTAAAACCTCCTTGGGGTCTGGCCACCTCCGTGGCTATCCAAGATGCCCACATAGGATCACAGTCATCCCCACTATAGATGTGACAACTACCCCCAAATGAATCTTTCCTTCTAATTCCTTTCAAACATTTCACCTGACCAGAACATTTTTGACAACAAACAATACATTAGCATTGTGAAAACCATGTTCCATGAATTGCAGAGAGCAATGTACAGATAGGAGGAAATGTCACAATAAAAAATAGTATGTCAGACAGTCATGTGACCAGTGCCTTGTCAAAGACCATGCGCAGGCCAGAGACAGAGGTGCCTCCCACTAAGGAAGAAATGTAAAAGTGTGTCAACCGGAAACACAGGAGCACACCAGGAAAAGGAAATGTGTTGTTTTCTCCATTTTGGAGTATTTAACTAGAAACACACAATTATGTAATTAAATGATTAAGTTTTCCAGCAGGGTAAATAATAACAAGAAAATAATGACGTGGTGACAACAGTCCTTCAGCAGGGTATAAAAGGGGATACGGCCAAGAAGACTTCCAAACCCAAGACCTTCACTCTCCTAGAAACCCACCCAGAACCTCCCCCCTCTGACACCATGGTCAGCTCCTGTTGTGGCTCTGTCTGCTCTGACCAGAGCTGTGGCCAAGGCCTCTGCCAGGAGACCTGCTGTCAACCCAGCTGCTGCCAGACCACCTGCTGCAGGACCACCTGCTGCCGCCCCAGCTGCTGTGTGTCCAGCTGCTGCAGGCCACAGTGCTGCCAGTCTGTGTGCTGCCAGCCCACCTGCTGCCGCCCCAGCTGCTGCCGCCCCACCTGCTGTCGCCCCAGCTGCTGCATCTCCAGCTGCTGCAGACCTTCTTGCTGTATCTCCACCTGCTGCCGCCCCAGCTGCTGCCAGACCAACTGCTGCAGGACCACCTGCTGCCACCCCAGCTGCTCTGTGTCCAGCTGCTGCAGGCCCAGCTGCTGCCAGTCTGTGTGCTGCCAGCCTACCTGCTGCTGCCCCAGCTGCTGCATCTCAAGCTGCTGCCAGCCCCAGTGCTGCCAGCCCACCTGCTGCCAGCCCACCTGCTGCCAGCCCCAGTGCTGCCAGCCCACCTGCTGCCGCCCCTGCTGCTGCCTGCGTCCAGTCTGTGGCCGGGTCTCCTGCCACACCACTTGCTATCGCCCAACGTGCGTCATCTCCACCTGCCCCCGCCCCCTGTGCTGCGCCTCCTCTTGCTGCTGAGCCCACTGCTCTAGGCCCACCTCTTCCTTCACCTCTGTCTCCACAGACATAGACCCTTCTTTTGTGCCGACCATTAGGACACATGGAGTCTGGAGGACATCACTGCATGGGATGGACTCATGTTTCCAATGAGCCCATCGCCATCCCGCTGGCTCTGTGAGAACATTCTGGTTCATCTTAAACTCCCTCTCTTGCTTTCTTTCCCTTCCAATGATGGCACCGAATATAAATTAATCTGTAATCCACTAGCTAAGAAATTATTCCAATCCTCTAAATTTCTCATTCTCCTTATCACTTTGGGGCTCTAGACTATCCTTCCCAGAAAGGTAGACATTGTCTGCAGGGCTCGCATTGGTATTCACTTCACATCCTCAGACAAGGGGTCCAGCTATGTCTTATATTTTCTCCTAGAGTGAATTTCTTAAGTTTTGTTACTTCTCTGCTTTCTAATAAACTTTTCTGCACATAAAAATTTGTTTGCAGGGTTCTCTGTTGTTTTCACAATCATTCTACTCAGTAACTAGGCAATTATATTTTACACTAATACAGAAAAGAGCAATCCATATTGAAATCACTTTGAAAATAAGTGCTATATCAACTATAGGTAATTTTAAGATATTAGAACAAAAGTGGTATGTGTGTGTGTGTGTGTGTGTGTGTGTGCATGTGTATTTGTCTTGATATCCTTAACTAGGACAGATTTTATTCATGTCTTTGTTAAAACACATCATACCCTTAACATATTATATCTCTTGATACCATTGGCCCTATTTTGGAAAAAAAGGGTAAAACCAAATTTCTAAAATAAAAAGTTCATGCCAATGAAACTAGAAAAATATCCCATAAAAATTTTATAAAAATTTTAATGTACTCAATTCATTTCATTCAATAAATAATATTTTGGAATTTATCATCAGAAAGTGGATTTTGTTTCCCATTGAGTTCTGCTGAGAATAAATGCGTATTGAATTGTATTTCACCTGGATGATATGGTATATTTCTGAGTGTGGTCTCTTAAGATTTTTCTTATAATTCAAATATCTCCACATTTAACATTCTAACATATATTACCCCTGGAAAACTGACATTTCAAAACTCGTTTTCTCTTTTTAAGGATTTTTTAAATTGAAATCAGTTCATAGCCTTGAGTAGCTCTCAGCTGGGGTTAGATCTTAATTAGAATCTCCAGGACTGGTGTCTGCATTTGAATTTAAATGACATGGCCCTCTGGTAGGAGCCTGCTCTTGATCTTTTTACCTATATTGAGATTAGCCTATTACCAGGCTCTGAAACGGCCCTAAATTATTGAACCAATCAGGTTTAGGATTATTTGTTCAGACATCACTGATAAGGTTCACGTTTCTTCAGATGACTTTAGAGAAACGTTGCTCAGATTGTAATCATACAGTCACGAGGCCTTCTTGAAATAATACAATACCCTCGTTATATAACTCATTTGGAATCTGCCTTAACTGATTTGAATCAAGATGGAACACAATTGGATGAAATATAATTTACATTTGACACGGAAGAGTTAGGAGTATTATCATTACATCATAAGTTCTGAAATCATGGCTGAATTTATAAACTACAATCCTGGGGGTTTTACATAGCCAAAATTATTTCTGTTTATCAAATTGGGAAAATGAAAAGCTTACATTTTATCTTAGCTTATCAATGACACTGGAGCGGTTTAGAATTATGGGTTCACACTTGAGGTCAGGTTTTGGAGTCAGTCTCTGAGATTCCCCTTCTACCGTGATCCCGTCCCACCCCAATGGGAAAGGAAAGTTCCCACGGGAAATGTAAAAATCAACAATAAAAGATTTTTAAATGAAAGTTTAATAAAATCAACTCTATAAACACAATAAAGATAGAGACCAAATAGAACAGAAAAAAGCTGGCAAAACTGATCACATAGAGAAAGAGAGAGAAAGACTAAAAGGCTGACAGGCAAATAATATGTTTGGAAAGCGGGATAACTGGCCACCAAAAAAGTGGAGATTTTTAAAAACCAGCTAGAACATTATGTACAAGTTTATAACAATATGTTTGAAAACTATGATTAAATTTACTATTTCTAGAAAAGTATGAATTAACAAAATTAATTCCAGAAGATACAGAAAACATAAATAAACCAATAACTCCTAAACAAAGTAAACTTATGATCTAAAATCTACCCCCCACACATGTTGATATTAAAAATACCAAACCCACATTGATGTAGAAGTAAGTTTATTAAACCTTAAAGGAAACCCTCTCCCATTCAAACTGGAAAAAAACAATAGAGCAAAAGGAAAAGCTGCCCAATTCATTTTTATGTGCCTAGTAAAACCACAATATCAAAAGCAGACAAGAACGGTGTGATAAAAGAAAATTATAGGTCTATATTATTGATGATTTTAGATGTAAAAATTTAATAAATAGTAAATGAAATTTATCAATATGTAAAAAAAATAACTCATCATATTTTCTACGAAAACTAGAGGTTTTCCTAGAAGTTCAGGAATGCTTCAAAATTACAAAATAATTAAATGAATTTTATGATATTAGTACTAAATGTAAGGAGAAAAACTATATGACCATATCTGTAGCTGTAGAAAAATAATTCAATACTATATAACAGCTGTATTAGTCAGGCTTCTCCATAAAACCAATAGGCGAGAGAGATAGATAGATGGATAGACACATAGGCAGGTTTATTGTAAGAAACTGGGTCACATGATTATGGAGGCTGAGGAGTCCTGAGAGCTGCAGCCAGCAAGCTAGAGACCCAGAGAGTCAAAGCTGTAGTTCCAGTCCAGAAGTCGGCAGTCTCAAGACCCAAGAAGAGCCAACATTTCAGTTCAAGTCCAAAGGCAGGAAAAGACTGATGTCAAGACAGTCCAGCAGGAGGAGTTCCCCTTACTCAGACTTTTTTGTTCTTATCAGATCTTCATTTGATTGGATGAGGCCCAGCCACATTAGGAGGACAATCTGCTCACTCCGCCCACTGATTCAAATGCTAATCTCATCCAGCAACACCGTCACAGACACTCTCAGAATAGTGTTTGATCAAATGTCTGTTTTTAGATTCCCAAATGTGTGGGGAGTGGATAAAGGATGGCACATTCATACAAAAGAAAAATATAGACCAGGGAAAGCACATCAAGCGTAGAACTGTGTATACAAATGTGGATGGAGCTCACACATTATATTGAGCAGAAAAAGTAATTTGCAGAAGGATATTGGTAGTATGTTATCTTTTATGTAAAGTATTTTAACATCCATTCCTGTGTACTGCTTAGGGGTACAACACATACAGAAAAGCATAAAGAAATATATTAGAAATGATAAATACCCAATTCAGGATAGTGACTAACTTGGGTAGAGGAAGAAGAGAAGAATAGGGATGGGAAAAGAAACACAGGCATTTCAACTCTCCTGATAATGCTTTATTTCTTAAGACATGCAGTGACAAGATGTGTGCTTATCATTCTTTTTATAGATATGTATAGGCATTTGTATGTTTTAAATATTTCACCGTAAATTATGTTTTTAAAGGAGGAAATAGCCTGACTGATAGGTGGAGAATTGATCTTAGAAAAACAGGAAGATGATCCAAGAATTGTTGCGAGAGAGAATGTTGAGGAAGCAGAGAGATCCGGTAGATCAGGGTGGCAGCAGCGTAGGAAAGTGCAGTGGGACACTTTGGGGTGCTGTTTACTGGTATTGAAGAGAGGAATCGATGATAGATTGATGTGGGGGAAAGAAAGGAATCAGAATTGTAGGTTTTAGGACTAAGGAACTAGGTGAGTGCTGCTGTCATTTACTAAGAAGAGGAAAACTGGAGGGTTTTCAGGTTTGAAGAGAACCAATAGTTCTAATAAGTCAGAATTACAAACTAGATGTCCAAGAGGACAAGTTTGGTAAGCAGTTGGACAAATAACCTTGGGTTTCACAGGGGACGTCACGACTGAAGACATCCTAATCTTTTATATCCCCCCTCCCACACACATACACACATGCACAGAAAAGCATGTGTACTATGTAATTTACACATGATTCTATATTGTCCACATAGGTAATATTTAGTTGATTCATCCTCCGCCAGCCTATTAGATGAACTGACTTACATTTGCTCCTCAGTCAGAGCTGTTCCTGGTGGTGGCCCAGCTCCCTGCAGGTGTTGGAGAGAAGCTGGACATCTGGTCCTGTAGCATAGTGGTCCTGCAGCCAGCACAGTATCAAGAACCCTAAACCTCGAGTACTGGTGGTTCTCGACTCTGGCTATTCATGGGATTACCTGGGAAATTTGTTAAGAATAACAATGGCTGGGTTTGGCCAGGGGACAAGGGAACCTGAATCTCTTGGAGGTAAAGCCTAAGCATGTAAATTTTCAGTTGTCCAGGGGGCTTGTCCAGGGGGCTTGAATGTGCATTCAGGGTTGAGAACCATTGGCTTAGAAATAGTTTGAAACAGGTATTTAATATAGGGCTCTATTACACTGATTTCTCCTACCTTTGCAAAGGTACTTATGGCAGTATGTACCAAGTAAGGTGTCTACCCTAATAACACTTTTTTAAACAAAGCCTGGGCCCACTACATATAATCAAACTACTCCTGGTCCTCCTGGTGATGTCATTGGCCATTTCTATCTGGCCTTTTCAGTCTTCCTTCCACAAGAAAGGTATCACACCAGGCTCCACCATCAACAACCCTCAGATCCCAAAGTGAGTCTTCAGTAACATAGACTCATATCTGCCTTTCCAGTGTCGCTTGTCAACATTTCATGCCTGGGTTAGCCATGACTTTCACACCTAACTTTCTAGTTCTCACCCAATCCCATTCTCCCTGGATCCTATTTATATTGACTTCTCCAAGCTATCCTACAAAACAAAATGTACATTCATCCCTCCCAATATGTCGAGAATCTACTCCTTCCCAAGACTCTACCTACCCACATGGAAGAACCGAAGTGAGAATTCTACAAAGGAGATCAAAATCGACACAGTGAGCAATGTCTAGATTTCTCAAGTCCTGACATAGAACTTGAAATTGCAACAGCTTTGGATACTACCACAAATTATTTTCTACAATAATGTTCTATAACTATCAATAAAAATAGTCAAACAAAAAATTTAGCTGCAAGTTAAAGCAGTATCACAGCCTCACACATTCTCAACTATTTAAATATTTTCTATGCAACTTCCTGATCAGAGAAGCTGGACTGCAGGAGTTCACGTGAAGGGGACACCCCGATCACCGTCTCCACAAGGGCAACTGCTCACATGTATAAATAAACTGAATATGTAACAGACTGGTTTGATTGCATATTATTATGTTAAAAATCA